GTACTTGGGGCAGTGGGAGGGGTGTGGGGGGATTGTGTCCCAGGGAGGGAGTGTTTCTTTTACTTTTGAAAGAGAGGAGTGAAGGGGTGGGAGGGAGGGCTGGGCGGGGAGAGAAGTGCAGCAGTTGAATGAATGGAAATCCAAAATCTCTGTAAATGCTCATTAAAATTATTTTTTAAAAAATAAAGCTTAAGAAGAAAAAAAAATGTACACTGTGAAAGGGATATAACAAAATTTTACTAGTGGTTACTGCAAAGTACATGGATTATTTAAATTGTCGCACATTTTTAAGATTTTTTCTAAAACGAACAAATATTTACTAATAAGTTAAATTGTGTGGAAAAATAAAGAAGACTGCTTTTAAAAAAGTATATGTAAGCAGCCCTTTCTGGTTATAACTTTTTTTATCATCTATAAATGTGGTTTTTTAACAAATGTATTATTAATGCCTCTGATACTTGGATATACCATTGCTTATCAATATTGGGCCTTAAACCTATGAAGAAATTTTCCCAATTCCTCAGTGAAATGCAGAACTGAACAATAAAACAGTATTCTATTTATTTATTATAAAGAGTTCGGTTCTGAGATTATATTTTCCCTGTATTTTTTTTTCCATTTAAATCTGCGTACTTTTAAATTGTGGAAACACTAGTGGCAATTTTAGAAAGATGTATTTAGAATAATAAAAAGTAATTCACTGTTAAGACAGTCCCCACCCTACTTTCTCTTTTGTGGCAGTAACATCGAGTTGAGGGCAGCAAGAGATTATACTGAGGGAGCTCTGGTGACCTAGTGGCAAGAAGCTGTGCTGCAATCCCAGAGGCATATGGTTCAAATCCACCAACTGCTCTGCTAGAGAAGGAGAGGCAATCTCCGCCTGTGCCAGTTGGATCCAATTCAACAGTACACACAAAAAAAGATACTATACTGATCCATGAAATACAAAAAGCTAGAAACTCTTGAGATCCATGGCCTTCTTTTTTGTTGTTTTTTTTGTTGCTTACATAGTCTATAGGAAGTTTCCATGCTAACTCACCTCTAAGGTTCCTCACCACTGGTTCCTCCTTTGGAGAGCAATGGACAGTCTCATGCAATTTACAGCCTTGGAAATCCAATGAAAAGTCAGCTATGAGTTAATTCCAACTTGACACTAATGAGTTTGAGATCTGATAGAAAATAAAGTTCTTTTTATGAATAGGCATTATTTATTAAATTATAGTATGTATTAAAAGAATTTCTTAACCACTGTTTATTTAAATACTGTTCTGTGTCATCAAGTCTTACAGTGTGACTTATAGTGATCCTTTGCACAATAGCTCTGAACCCTGCCCTATCCTGAGCCAGTGTCACAGACTCTCACATTTAACCCAGTTAGTGTGTCAATATATCTCATCCAGGGTCTTCCTTTACAGCACTGGCCCGCCACTCTTCAGGCATGATGTCCTTCTCCAGGGACTGGTCCCACCTGGCCATGTTCCCAAAGTGTGTAAGACAGAGCTTCAAAATCCTTGCCTCCAAGGAGAAATCTACCTGGCCAACTGACTGGAATAGATGCATATTTATTTCCATTCCCAAAAAGGTGACCTGACAGAGTGTGGAAATTATCGAACAATACCACTAATATCACATGCAAGCAATATCCTGTTGAAGATTACCCAAAGCCAACTGGAACAATACACTACACAGACAGCATTATCAGAAATAGAGGCTGGTTTTAGAAGTCATGGCACTAAAGACATTATCGCCATTGTCAGATGGATCTTGGTTGAATTTAAAGAGTACCACAGGAGTGTCTGTTTCTTTAAACACTATGGTTTAAAATAAAAAAGGATGTATATCAAGGTGGTCTCTTCTCTCTACATCTGTTCAGTCTGTATGCTGAGCAAATTATTCAAAAAGCTACTCTATGAAGAAGAAATGTGGCTTTAGGATTATAAGAAGACTAATCAACAACCATATATATGCAGATGATACAACCTAGCTTGCTCAAAGTGAGAAGAAAATGAAATGTTTGCTGCAGAAGACTGAAGACTACAGCATTCTATGTGGATTATAACAACATCAAGAAAACAAAAATTCTCACCACTGAACCAAAGGCAACATGATAGATGGAGAAAAGATTGAAAATTGTCAACATCTTCATCTTAACTTGGTTCTGCAATCAACATACTTGGTACCTAGAGATCAGGAGATGTATTGCACTGTGAGAAAGTCTGCAGTCAGGGACCTCTCCAAATTATTGAAGAGCAGTGCTGTCAGTTTGAGGCCTAAGGTGTGGCTGATTCAGAACATGGTATTTCTGATCAGTTGCTTTGCTGCAGAGAGCTGGACAGTGAATAAGGATGACGGAAGAAGAATTAATGTCTTTTGAGTTGTGTTGAAGAAGAGTACTGAATATCCTATGGTCTGCCAAAAAAACATACAGATATATCTTAGAGAAAGTGCAGCCAGAGTGCTTCTTGGAGGCAAAGATGACAAAGCTTCATCTCACATACTTTGGACATGTTGGTGGTTGTGGTGTTGTTAGGTGCCTTCAAGTTAAGTATGACCCATAGTGACCCTATGAACAACAGATTTGAACCCTGTCATATCCTGTCTGGTCTTCACACTTCCTGACACATTAGAGCCTATTATGACACCTCAGTCCACCTGGTTGAGGGTCTTCCTCTCTTTTGCTGACCCGTACCTTACCAAGCATAATGTCCCTCTCCAAAGAATAGCCTCTCCTAGCAACATGCCGGAAATAGAGACAAAGCCTTATCTGTGCTTCCAAGGTGCACTCTGGCTGCATTTTTCTTCAAGACGTATTTGTTCTTCTGGAGGTGCATGGAATATTCAGTACTCTTCTCCAGCACCATAGCCCAAAGACATCAATTCTTCTGTCATCCTTATTCATTGTTCATTTCTCAGATGCATAGCAACTGATTAGAAAGGCCGTGGCCTGAATCAGCCACACTTTAGTCCTCAAACTGACATCAGTGCTCAGTAATTTGGAGAAGTCCCTGACTGCAGGCTTTCCCACTTCAATACATCTCCTGACTTCCTGACTGCTAATACCAAGGAGTGTTGACTGTGCATCCAAGTAAGGTGAAATGGGCATGTTGGTAGGAGAGTCTATTTTTTGGAGAGGGACCTCATGGTTGACAAAGTGGAGGGTTTGTCAAAGAGAGGAAGACCCTCAACCAGATGGATTGACACAGTGGCCACTGCAGTGGGCTCAAGTATGTCAAAAACAATGAAGATGGCACAGGATAGGACAGGGTCCAGATCTGTTGTTCATAAGGTCACTGTGAGTCATAGTCACTTTTATGGCACCTAACAACAACATTTCTCTTGAAGATGTTTGAAGCAATTTCTAGTCAGTATTTTAACATACTCTCTTGTAGCTTTTTAAAAAATTCATTTCAATTTACAGTTGTGCTGAAAACTGTACTTACTGTATATCTTATTGTGGAGCCCTGAGTAAGCTCTCATTGTGTAACAAAAAGTGTAGTATTTTGAACCTAACATTTATTCACTCCATAGGAGAATGAGGTGACTGTCTGTTTAGGAAAATATTTATACAGCCCAAGAAACTTAGAGAACAGTTCTGCTCTGTCCTGTGGAATCCCTATGAGCCAGAATTTACTTGGGCAGTGGGTTTGGTGTTGGCGATACATCTCATTTAAGACTCCGGCATAAATTGGAGTCCTGTGAGCAGTAGATAATAATGTTTCTGTTTCTGTTGTTTGCCTCATTTATGCCAGCACAAAATAAGTCTCAGGTATTAAAATGTTTGCTGTGTGAGCCTTACAGATAATTGCTGTTACTATTGTCAGTTTTATGATTAATGGCAAGTAGGGAGGAAAAAAATCATTAAACTAAAGTCATTTGTAGACTCAAAGTATAAGGGTATTAACTATATGGAAACCGTTCTTGGCGTTAGTGCATCAGTGATCTCCAAAGGCATGTTGATGAACTTGGGGGGCATTGGCCCTCATCATAATAAGATGGATTCTACGTAACACAGTAAAAAAGCTATAGAAATTGATAGCTCTCTTAACATTTCAGCACCTTGATACCTCAGGAAACAAATACCTGGCTAGTTAGATCCCTAGTCCACTTCCTTCTCATCAGCTAGTTAATGCCTCTGTGTAACAATGGGAAAGAAATATGTCTTCCTACAGATCTGTCCAGTTTGTTCATTTCTAGTTCTGATTTGCTGGGGCTTGGAAGTTGAAATAGAGTTTCACTCTTGGATTTTATGAAGTCACATCCTGGTATCCTTTAATCAGCAAAATCACTGTTGTAAGGCAAATGTCTATAGTCTTTATCTCCACACGGTTGTTTTCTTGTTCTGTTTTGTTTTTTGAGACAAATCTTATCTGATAACTCTTGTTAATAATACCCTTTATTAACAGTACCCAAAGGTACTTCGGAAGAAACAGAAGAGTAGAATCAGGATTTTTCCACATACTGTCTCATTTGATCCTGTAACAACTATAAGGTGAGCAGATTAGCTAAACTTGAAGACCTCCTATGGAATGGTACATGGCGTTCAGTATGTGTAGGCCACAGCTTTATCTAAGAGGGCATTAGTAGATTGTTGTTGTTAAGTGCTGTAGAGTCATAGACTACACATAGCGACCCTATGAACTAAAATCTTGAACGCAAAACTTTCATCTTTTCTCCAAGTTCATAGAGTTTCCCGAGGCAAGCGTTTTTGGAATTGGATGCCACTCCTGCTTCCAAGTCAGTTTTATTCGGGAGATCCACAAAAACTAAAAGCCTTTTTAAAGGCGAGGCCAAATCCTATCATCTCACACCCTATGTGAACAATAGCCACACCCTAATCTCAGCCCCAAACCAGAAAACACACCTCTGCAGAATCAGCCGTTCTGCTCATCTTCCCAGCCTGGAAATAGATAGTGTTTGTGGTATATATGGTTTATGTTGTAAGAAATCCACTGCTGTACATTTGTGAAATAACACTGAATTATTGTCTGTTTCAGGTTGTGTGAGCCATGGCTATGACTAGTGTCAGGTTGCCTGCCAGCATTTTAAGAAAGCCAGATGCTTGGATTGGACTCTGGGGAGCGCTCTGGCGGACACCTTCTTCCTACAAACCCTGTGCTTCCTGGAATCAGTACTTACATTTTTCATCTACCACTTTAAATGCATCAAATTATAAAACACATTTGCGCAGTGTATTTTCACTAAGACTCCCAGGCCTCTTAATATCTCCAGAATATATTTTGCCATTGTCCAAGAGACTCAAAAGTATTATAAGCTCTAAAAAATCCCCTAAAAAGACTCTGCAGAAAGTGGAAGATGAAGAGTCTGATGAAGAGAGTGACCACAGTGAGATAAGTAAGCAGGAAGAGGAGCTGGAGGATGACCCCAGTGTGGTCAAAGACTATAAGGACCTGAAAAAAGTGGTGCAGTCCTTTCGGTATGATGTTATCCTGAAGACTGGTCTAGACGTTGGAAGAAAGTGAGTTGGTTGATGTTTTGTTAGAAACTAGCTTGTCTTAGTTTGTTATTAAGAATATACATAGCTGTACCATTTCAACAGGCTGGATGCAATTCAGTGACATGAATTCTATTTTTCAGGTTCTTTAGTCATTTTCACCCACATTTTTTAGTTGTTCTTACCCCATTCACATAAGTTCACTGCCCTTTAGAGTTCCTGTCTAAATCTTTTAGAGTTACTGTCACCAGTTTAATCTCAGGTTGATCTTAAGAGCACACTGCTCACGGAAGACATTTTTTTTACCAGTTAAGCTAAATTACTGTTATTTGGCTTTTAAGAAAAATTCAGGAAATATTTTTTATTTAAAAAATATTTGTGCTGGCTGTTTTAATACAGCATTATAATCACATGGCCCGACTTAGGAAAAGTCACCATAAATGTGAAAGGACCTATGGACCTTATAGGTAACTCATTTCAGTTTCATGTTATGGATGAGAAAACTGATTCCCCAAAAAGTGAGGTGACTGCCTACATATCCCATGTGCCATACTTTCTTATTCTAAGACACATAGATGACTTTAAGATGAACCGTTGATATAAACACAGCTTCTTGACAAAAGGAATCACCACATTAATATATACAAAGCAAGCATAAGGCACACCTGGATTTAACAAATATCAAAAGGCACCTCAGAAACAAAGGAATGAGAGACAAGGTGATAGTTAAGTATTCAGGCGTTGGAGCCAGACTGCTAGCACTTGACTATACTTCTTTGTGTGACTTTGGGCAAGTTACTCAACATCTCTGAACTTCCATTTCCTCACCTGTAATGTGGGGTAATAGAACCTACTTTAGATGGTGGTTGTACAGATTAAATAGGTATCTCTCTTACCTATCTAAAGTGCCTGTAACAGTACCTACCTGGCACATAGTAGATACTCTGTATGTGTATATGCGAACTTATATAAGAAAATAGTATGTGTTCATATATGATACCTAAAAATACTAAGTGTAATTTTTGCAATTTCTTTGCTATTGTCATTTTTTTCTCTGCTAGAACTAATTATATAATAGTTTATCCTCAGGGAGCTCTGGTGGCCTAGTGGCAAGAAACTGCACTGCAATTCCAGAGGAATGCAGTTTGAATCCACCAAATGCTCTGCTGGAGAAGGAGGGGCAATCTCCTATACCAGTCAGATGTGATTTGATGGTACACACAAAAAAAGAATAAAAAATTTTTTTTAATTTTTTTTAAAAAATTACCCTCACTGTTCATTCATTCCTTTAGCAATCATTGATTGTGTGCATTCTTCATACAAGGTAAAAATTATAATAAGAATAATACATTCAGAAGGATTTTCTTGTGTAATCTGTACATTTTATTACCTTATTTAATGACATAATTTAATTTTTTAATCCATGAGGTTTAGGAGACTCAAAGATGACTGAGCCCACAGGCCACCCTCTTAGCACCCTGATCAGAATTTGTTACAAAGCAAACTCATAAGATGACCAGCCTTTTCCCCTTTCCCAGAGTAGTAGCTGTGGCTTTATTAAGCAGGACCTTAAATGTCAGTCACCAGGAGACAGAGCATCAATAGGAAAAGGGACTGATTTTGTTCTGAGTCTCCCTGGCTTTGGATGTGCAGTGATTTAATACAGTGAAGGAAGAAGTTCAAGCTGCTTTGAAGGAAATAGCAAAAAATGAGGTCCCAGGAATAGATGGTATACCAATTGAAGTATTTCAGATAACAGATGTTGCCCTGGATGTGCTCACCAAGTTGTGCCAAGAAA